GGTTGGAGATTCGTTCGGCTGTGAATAGCCGGGTGATCTGACGGAAGTCCTCGATCGAGCTTGGGATGATTTTGATCGCCTCCCCGAGGTTGACGGCATGATCATACTTGATACCTGCGTCGTAGCAGGTCAGGTTTTGGATAACTGGGTGAATTTTGCCTTGTCTCTTAGGAAGACAGGGGGCGGGACTTGCTTCTTAGCAAGGACTGGAGCACAACGAGAGGCTGGTTTGGTCGGTGTGGGGATGTCTAGTGACATCAGTGGGACGGCGGCAGCGTCGAGGGCTGCGGAGGTTGTGGGAGCGGCAGGGGCCGCTGAAATAGGGGGAGTGCGTTTTAACGCGGCGCGCTTACCGTTGCGCTTGGAGGTGACGGTGGTGAAAGTGGACTCCCCGGTTCCGTCGGAGTCAGAGGACTCCGATGAGCCGGAGCCTGAAGTAGTGGCGGGCCTCTTCCGGGAGGTCGGCGCCGAGGACTCGGAGCATGCGTACTCCATTTCTAAGGGGGCAGATTCAAGGGGGGCAAAGGAGATCCTCGTTTCGAGGTAAGACGCGATTACCGACGGCTGAAGATGTGCCTGAGGGGCAGGGAGGGGAGCCTGCGTGGCGATGGTGGCGATGGCGGCGAGGACCGTCTCATTGCCATTTAAACCGAATTGGTTAATGAGGGCGGCGAGAGACTCAGTGAAACTGGATGTGGCCATTTTGGGTCAGTAAGCTAAGCTAGGTAAGGATGAGGACGGGTCCCTGTTCTCGGTAGAACAGGGACTAGATCGCGAGACGTACTACGACACACTATACACGTAATAATAATGCAAGAATAACAAGAAAAACAAGAAAATAAAGGAGACAGTAAAAAAAAATATATATATATATATATAAATGAAAATGAAATGAAAATGAAAAACGGAAGTCAGTCAGACCTCCCTGCCCGAAGACAGGGGGGCAAGAACTGTAGCGAGAAAGTGACTCACCGGCAGCCTCGACGCTGTTCCGCGTGAGCAGGACAGCGGAGGCGCGTGAGAGCGAGACAGCACTACCGTACTGTACGGGAGCGCGGACCGCCAGGAGGCGACCGTCCGAGAACGATGCCGCCGGCGGACTGAGCACTGCGTCAGCGCTGTACAGCGCGAGCGGGACAGCGGGGGCGCGAGAGCGGAGAGCACTACCGTACAGGAACGAAAGCGTGGACTACCTGGATGCTACCGCTCGGAAGCGATGCCACAGGCGGGAAATTTTGCTGTCCCCCTTTATTGGCCGATTGTTCGGCTTTTATACTTTTTGACGGATCTGGGATAAGAACGGGAAATTATTTAAATTAAAAGCAAATTTTTGTAAATGGCCAAGAGGAAAAGATTATTTTTGTGGAAGTATTGAAGTAAAAACATCAGGCCGGTAACGAATTTGAATAAAAATTGCCATGACAACCAGATAAACAACGATGTCAAAACATGTCAAATTTTGGTTTTAGGCTCGTAATAGAGAAACGGCAAAATTTAAGTGAAAAATGAGATATTATTGATATAGGAAAAAAAGGTAGCGCAACAGTGCGCACGAAGCCCGAAATTGCAGAGTTACGGAGAACTAAATAAAAGACCGAAAAAGGTAGACTCCATTGACACCGATTTAAAAAGTGCTGATAACGTGAAAATACGAAGGGAAAGTGATTTGTTATTGTGTTCTTATGGTTTAAAAACGTTACAGGATCCTATGGAAATAAAGGTGATGCAAAATATCCAGTTTTGAGGCGAGTGCAGAAAATCAAAAACAGAATGGAAAAATAAATTTAAAATAGTGTAAAATGATATGTAAGTAGCATAACACTACATTTCCCCCCCCGACCCTGGAAAATTTTTGACTCAGCAAAAATTTTGACATGTACATTCTAAAATAAACCATAAAAACACAGCTTTGCAGTAACAGACATCACCAGGCAAAATCAGATATACTATCTCTTACATTCGTCATCTGCATTCAGGTAAGGGTGGAGTTCACATTCAATGACTACCACTCTAAAAGTGTGTTTTCGAAAGGACATTCAGGCTTATTTAAGGAATTGTCTTCCGCTCCTGCGTGGAAAAAAAAACAATTTTATTAAGGGAGTAGTCAGCCACTCCCAAGTGAAGATAAAGATAAAGAAATTAATCTTAAGCAAGCTTTAGTCGCTATGATGGGGCCCAAAATGTCGTAAAGCGACAGTTAAAAACTAAAGAACCTAACCTAACAACAACGAAACAACCAAAAAAAATAATTTGTTTAAAATTTTAAAAGATATTTACAGTTTTTATATAATAAAATATATGAAAATGATGATGGGTGACGTGAATTACAATAATTTTTAAAAAAAAATAACAAAGATAAATGAGTACTGAAACGGAGTATGCACAGGCTACGCCTGTGGTAGGTGCGCAGCGCCTGATCTAGGCACACGCAGCGTCTGGAGTAGGCACACGCAGCGCTAGAAGTAGGCATACACAGTGCCCGGACTAGGCACACACAGCGCCCGGAGTAGGCACACGCAGCGTCTGGAGCAGGTACACGCAGCGCTTGAAGTAGGCAAACACAGCGCCCGGAGTAGGCACACACAGTGATCGGAGTAGGCACACGCAGCGCCCGGAGTAGCCACACCCAGCGCTCGGAGTAGGCACACGCAGCGCCCGTAGTAGGCACACGCAAAATGTCGTAAAGCGACAGTTAAAAACTAAAGAACCTAACCTAACAACAACGAAACAACCAAAAAAAAATAATTTATTTAAAATTTTAAAAGATATTTACAGTTTTTATATTAAAAAAAATATATGAAAATGATGATGGGTGACGTGAATTACAATAATTTAAAAAAAATAACAAAGATAAATGAGTACTGAAACGGAGTATGCACAGGCTATGCCTGTGGTAGGTGCGCAGCGCCTGATCTAGGCACACGCAGCGTCTGGAGTAGGCACATGCAGCGCTTGAAGTAGGCACACACAGTGCCCGGAGTAGGCACACACAGTGCCCGGAGTAGGCACACGCAGCGCCCGGAGTAGGCACACGCAAAATGTCGTAAAGCGACAGTTAAAAACTAAAGAAGCTAACCTAACAACAACGAAACATCCAAAAAAAAAATAATTTATTTAAAATTTTAAATGATATTTACAGTTTTTATATAAAAAATATATGAAAATGATGATGGGTGACGTGAATTACAATAATTTAAAAAAATAACAAAGATAAATGAGTACTGAAACGGAGTATGCACAGGCTACGCCTGTGGTAGGTGCGCAGCGCCTGATCTAGGCACACGCAGCGTCTGGAGTAGGCACATGCAGCGCTTGAAGTAGGCACACACAGTGCCCGGAGTAGGCACACACAGTGCCCGTAGTAGGCACACGCAGCGCCCGGAGTAGGCACACGAAAAATGTCGTAAAGCGACAGTTAAAAACTAAAGAACCTAACCTAATAACAACGAAACATCCAAAAAAAAATAATTTATTTAAAATTTTAAATGATATTTACAGTTTTTATATAAAAAATATATGAAAATGATGATGGGTGACGTGAATTACAATAATTTAAAAAAATAACAAAGATAAATGAGTACTGAAACGGAGTATGCACAGGCTATGCCTGTGGTAGGTGCGCAGCGCCTGATCTAGGCACACGCAGCGTCTGGAGTAGGCACACGCAGCGCTTGAAGTAGGCACACACAGTGCCCGGAGTAGGCACACACAGCGCTCGGAGTAGGCACACGCAGCGCTTGAAGTAGGCACACACAGTGCCAGGAGTAGGCACACACAGCGCCCGGAGTAGGCACACGCAGCGCCCGGAGTAGGTACACGCAAAATGTCGTAAAGCGACAGTTAAAAACTAAAAAACCTAACCTAACAACAACGAAACAACCAAAAAAAATAATTTATTTAAAATTTTAAAAGATATTTACAGTTTTTATATAAAAAAATATATGAAAATGATGATGGGTGACGTGAATTACAATAATTTAAAAAAAATAAAGATAAATGAGTACTGAAACGGAGTATGCACAGGCTATGCCTGTGGTAGGTGCGCAGCGCCTGATCTAGGCACACGCAGCGTCTGGAGTAGGCACACGCAGCGCTTGAAGTAGGCACACACAGTGCCCGGAGTAGGCACACACAGCGCTTGGAGTAGGCACACGCAGCGCTTGAAGTAGGCACACACAGTGCCAGGAGTAGGCACACACAGCGCCCGGAGTAGGCACACGCAGCGCCCGGAGTAGGCACACGCAAAATGTCGTAAAGCGACAGTTAAAAACTAAAGAACCTAACCTGACAACAACGAAACAACCAAAAAAAATAATTTATTTAAAATTTTAAAAGATATTTACAGTTTTTATATAAAAAAAAATATATGAAAATGATGATGGGTGACGTGAATTACAATAATTTAAAAAAAAATAACAAAGATAAATGAGTACTGAAACGGAGTATGCACAGGCTATGCCTGTGGTAGGTGCGCAGCGCCTGATCTAGGCACACGCAGCGTCTGGAGTAGGCACACGCAGCGCTTGAAGTAGGCACACACAGTGCCCGGAGTAGGCACACACAGCGCCCGGATTAGGCACACGCAGCGCCCGGAGTAGGCACACGCAGCGTCTGGAGCAGGTACAAGGCATTTGCAATTTGTACCTTAATAGAGAATAAATGTAGATAACTATGTGGATGTAGATATCTATATCCACAGCATTCACGTACCATCAGGTGGACTGTACGCTCGTTAGTCACCCTTATTCTATAAAAAAACACTTACAATAAAAAAAATCACAGATATTGATATAAAAAGTTTGGCTGATCAGTGCTTTTTATCGGCTTATGCTGTTGTCCAATAGGCTTTATTAAATATTTAGAAGCAGCTTGTCGGGAATAGCATTGCGGGAGTAGGTATTGTAAAATTAATTTAGTAGGACTGTTTTCAATTAGTAGTAAATTTTTCAGTTAGTGGTCTTTAAAATACAATAAAGCAGTTGTCCATATTTATGTTTTAGGCGGCGTATTGCGAGAAGGCGGGTGTCGATTCGCTTCTGACACTCCCGGAGTTATACTTCAGGCCGCAGAATGTTAACGAGCTGGTATCTTACGTGGAGTTGGTGGCAAAAGCTGCTCCCAACCTTCCTGTACTCTATTATCACATACCTAGTATGAGTAAGGTAGAAAGTGAGTATGTCATCCTTAACTTTTAATTTGATAAAATTGATCATATTATATGTATGTAAATAGTCAGTCTCGTGACTTTGGACTTCGAATCACGGTGAAATGTTGTCTATTAGGTACACCGTAAGCACGGCCTTTAATGCTCGTCACCAACTTATAAAACGTATTTTAATAAGCCTTTTAGGCCGCAAGTTCTGTGTCCGATGAAGCTGTGATAGGTTAACAGGAACAACATTACAGAAAATAGACATATTTTTACACATAAAGGCTTGGTAGTTCATAGAGACTGAGATAATCCTAACAAAAAATAAATACTTCGAATTACACCATTCTATTTTTATTTCTTTATTCAGTTAATATGCCAGCATTTGTGACTGCAGCCACGGCCCGTATTCCCAACTTCAAAGGTATCAAGTTTACGTCAAACGACTTGAGCGAAGGTGCTCAAGTTCTGCGGGCACTCAAGGATGACCAGGAAATGTTTCTGGGTGCTGATACCGTAAGATACTTTTGATTTTATTATGTTTACCCCAGATTGATATCAAATGATCATGAGGGCCTAATTTATTTTATTTATTTATTCAAAGCAAACAAAGAATATCTTAATTTCTAGGATACAAACACTTTAAGATACATCATTATCATCATTACAGCCCTTCAGAAGTCCACTGCCGAACATAGGCCTCCCCCAAGTAACGCCACAAAGCACGGTCCTGAGCCACCTGCATCCATCGACTTCCTGCATGTCTTACCAGGTCGTCACTCCATCTAGTGGGGGGTCGCCCTACACTACGCTTATCGGTACGAGGCTGCCACTCGAGAACCTTTCTTCCCCATCGGTTATCGGTTCTTCGAGCGATATGGCCGGCCCATTGCCCCTTCAGCTTACTAATCCGTTGGGCTATGTCGGTCACTCTGGTTTTACTGCGGTTATCCTCATTTCTAAATCTATCACGCAGAGAAACTCCGAGCATAGCCCTCTACATAGCTCGCTGAGTGACCTTGAGCGTCCTCATACAGCCAGCGGTGAAGGACCACGTCTCTTGCCGTAAGTCGTATGCCGTAAGTCATCACTGGCAACACGCACTGGTTGTACAGTTTAGTTTTCAGATATTGAGGTATACCTGACGAGAAGATGTGTCGTAATTTCCCGAACGCTGCCCAGCCGAGTTGAATCCGTCGATTGACCTCTCGGTCGAAGTTGGACTTTCCTAGTCGGACTATTTGTTACAGGCAATCGTACTCATCAACAACTTCGAGCATAGTGCTCCCAACAACTACCGGCATAGGTGTGACATGGACATTAAACATAATCTTTGTTTTGTCCATGTTCATCTTAAGACACGGATTTGGGAGACGGAGTTGGGAGACACCATTGAGGTGATTGAGCATAGTGCTAAGGTCCTCCAGCGATTCTGCCATAAGGACTATATCGTCGGCAAATCGAAGGTGAGTGATGTACTCGCCATTGATGTTAATACCGTATCCTTTCCAGTCCAGTAGCTTGAAAACGTCTCCCAACGCAGCGGTGAAGAGTTTCGGGGATATAACGTCACCCTGTCTTACACCTCTCTGCAGTTGGATAGGTTTCGAACTCTGGTTCTGTACTCGGATAGCCATCGTAGCCCTACTGTACAAACACTTCAGCACTTCGATATACCGACAGTCAACTTGGCACCGCTGAAGGGACTGTAGCACCGCCCAAATTTCGACGGAATCAAAGGCTTTCTCATAATCCACATACGCCAGGCAAAGTGGCAGATTGTACTCTTTGGTCTTCTGTACAATATGCCGCAGGGTATGTATGTGGTCTATGGTACTGAAGCCTTTTCGGAAACTGGCTTGTTCGGAAGGCTGGAAGTCGTCGAGTCTGCGTGCGAGACGATTCGTAATGACTCTCGAAAACAGCACGTGGACGCGGCTCAGAAGGGAAATCGGTCTGTAGTTCTTCAAGAGAGCGTTGTCGCCTTTCTTAAAGAACAAGACCACCGCACTTCTGTTCCACGCCTCCGGAGTAGTGCCACCATGGAGGACGGAATTGAAGAGCTTCTGAAGGACTTCAAGTACCGGTGTTCCACCCGCTTTCAGAAGCTCCGCTGTAATTCCATCCTCGCCTGGGGCCCTGCCGTTTTTAAGGTGCTGGAGAGCCATTCTAATCTCGCTCAGACTGACGGATATCATCGGAATAGTGTCGGGTAAGACTTGCTCTTAGATCGTTACTCATACTCGCGTGTGGCTCCAACGATGATGTGTACAGCTGCCCATGGAACCTCTCAATCTCACTCAAAATCTCAGGTGTCCCGGAAACGATGCTGCCACACTCAGTCTTCAGCTTTGACAGTTGGCTCTTTCTGGCAGACAGATCTCTGGCAAAGACTTTGGAGCCCTGGTTCCGATCGATCGCTTCTTTAATACGAGCAGTATTAAAGTTGCGTAAGTCTTGCTGCATGCATTTGGAGATCTGTCTGTTCAGTTGCCTGTATGCTGTCAAATCTGTTGTCGATTGCAGCCTCATCTCCCGTCTAACAGCTATGAGATTAAGAGTGTGATCAGAGAGTTTTTGTGTTCTTCTGCGGCGGATCTTGCAGAACTTAGCTCCGACCGCATGGACAGTTTCCACGAGCTTGTCATTCATATCGTCCACTGCATTGCAATCTTCTAGGCACTGAAAGCGGTTATGTAACTCGAGCTGAAAAGTCTCGGGATTCTGGATTAGAGCACGAGGGGGACGGAGAGTTGACTTCATTAGACGAGACATCTCCAACTTAACGTTTAGGTTCAGTGTGCCTCTAACCATTCGGTGATCGCTGCCGGTTTTCACCCTTGCGATCACTGAGACATCACTGAACAGTTGGCGTCTGGGCGGCATAATGAAGTCAATCTCATTTTTTTTCGAACCGTCGGGGCTCGACCATGTCCACTTCCTGTAGGGCCGCTTCTGGAAGAAAGAGTTCATCATAAAGAGTTCCTCTTTGTCCATAAAGTCAGCCAGCTGCTGGCCCCTACGGTTCCGTTGCCCTACTCCAAATTTCCCTAACTTCAGCTCACCGCCTTCTCTTGTGCCTAGTTTTGCGTTGAAGTCTCCCATCAACACCGTGTAGTGGGTTTTGGAGGAATGCATGGCTCTAGAAATATCCTCATACATTTCCTCCACCTCCTCATCGGGATGTGCCGAGGTTGGTGCGTAAACCTGTGTGACCTTCAGCGAATAACGTTTGGTGATTCTGAGTATCAGGTACGCGACCCTCGTTGGCACACTCCCAATCTTTACAACGTTGTTGACGAGAGACTTGTGGACGATAAATCCGACACCTCCTTGGGACAGATGGTCGCCCTCCCGGTGATAGAACAAGTTGCCGGACTCGAGGATTACCGTGTCCTCCCCCTCTCTTCGGACCTCAGATAATCCAATAATATGCTCTTCTTCCAGCTCCAGTATCTTCTCGTCAGTCCTCAGGGTGCATTATATGTTGCCGTTGCGTGCGTTATATGTTGCCAGGTCGAGTCGTCGTAGGTGGCAACCGAACCTCCACCGGAGATTCTTAGCACCCCCTGCCCCGCCGTTACCATGGTCGCCACCGTAGCCAGGAATAGCGGGGCCGCCGGGGACTGGGGGCCGTTTATTTGTGTCGTTGCTCATGGGGGATATTTGCCATAGTTGCCACGCTTGGCGAGCGGGTTGGCAACCGCACTTTTTTAAGATACAGCTTAACAGTAAATACAATTTAGTGAACATCTGTGTCTGAACTAGATAACTTAATATCTGTGTTTCAGAAAGCAGCGCTCTTCCCTTTAAGATTAATCATTAATTTATAGTTGTAGAGTGTAGGTAAGCCTCCTTGTGTGTAGAGTGATAGTGTGTGTATGTGTGTAGGAGGTTGAGTATAATATTTATCTAGGTACATTAAGTAATTCTTCGGTTTCGTTATAGTTCAGTTTATGAATATTAATAATATATTGATACTGAGGTAAAGCTTTTTGTTACACAATTTCATTTAATTGAGAAGTTAATTGTAAATAAAAGTTAATCAGTATATTACACACAAAACAATGCCTCAGTTTGCTCGTTATTTGCACATTAACAACTCTTTTAAATAAATTTCTACTTTAATGCATATTTGTGGTTTGGTTTATTTATTTTTAATCCAATTAATACAAAATATAACGAATAGTACAGGAAGAAACATTAGCCTTTACATTTTACAAATTAACTTCCCCGCTATGAAATTTGTGAAATATTACTCCTCATTTTTAAGTGGCGCTGCGCCGCCTTAGTGGCAGAAAAAGTTACGCAGGTATTATCTATTATTTTATAAAATATCGGCCGGGGAAAAAGTTTCTTCGTATTTTATATACAAATTCAAGACATTTTCTTTTCAAAGTAACAAGCAGAAAACAAAAAAAAAATTGTTTGATAACTTGTCGCCATCTTGTGGATAGTGACATTTTTTTTAAATAATAAGCGTGATCAACGAGCACATAGTCCACCTAATGGTAAGTGAATGCTGTGGCCCATAGACATCTTAATTTATCCTCGATTAAAAATCAAGATGCAGATGAGTTCTAACTACCCCTGAGGACTAACTCGTTTCCAGTAAAATAGGGTCTCCGGATCTCTACACTCACTATACGAAACACAGCAGTATTAAAATGCTATTTTACGCTGTTATTCTGTCAGTGAGCGTGGTCCTTCCCCGGTCGAGCCGACCCATTCGTACTACAACCATAATATATCCCGTTGCTGTAAAAATCTTGGGATTTTTGATCAAAAAAATGTGACAAGTAGTTTTGACAGTCTTCTCTTGATGTTAACCTAACACTACTCAAAGAATTCTGAAGAGACCAGAACAGATAAAAATCTGAGGGTGCAAGGTCGTTTTCAGGTATTGAGATATAGGTACTCGTACGCGTACCTGACGAGAAGATGTGCCGTAATTTCCCGAACGCTGCCCAGCCAAGTTGAATCCGTCGATTGACCTGACAGACACAACACAGCCCTACCCTGTTGCAGCACTGCTGCAGAACGTTAGAATTTACTAATTGTTAGTGTTTAGGACATGTGGTTGGTGATCTCCAGGTCTATTCACACTACATATAAGACAACTTTCGATTTTAGCATTAACTTTAATGTGTGTTAGCGAGTACTGCTGCATTACAATTTCTTCTGTAGTTGACAACTTTCGACAGTTTTTACAATATTAAAATCGGATAGAAAAATATTGTCAGACATGACCATTCGTGGCTATATTCTTTCGCATTTATACCTAATAAATGTTCACTGCTGAAGATAGGCCTCCCCACAGATTGCTATCCACTCTAACGGCCGCCCTGCGATGGTAACTACTGGTGGCTACTCGCCGCCTCAAGCCGCGCGAATCTGTCCCCGCTGCTCGGTAACAAAAATCTTTGTAACAGCTAAAGTATAATAGCTACAGCAAATATAAAAATATTGGAAAATAGCTAGACGTTGATAGATTTTTTTTTTAATAGAATAGGCTGACAAACGAGCACACAGTCCACCTGATGGTAAGTGGTTGCTGTGGCCCATAGACATCTACATCTATCTTTCATTACAAATCAAAATGCAGATGCGTTGTCACCCATGAGGACTGAGATGGAATGCCTCATTTTCAGTAAAAAGGGTCTGAAGTCCATTGCTGAAGATAGGCCTCCCCTCCGATTGTTACTGCTTGCCAGGCAGCTGGCAATCACAGATTTTTACTTTTTAGTTGTTATAAGAAAGACGTTGCTGCCCATATCAGGGTTTGTTTCCCTCTGTATTTTCTTACAGTACCCGAGACATGATATGGGGCATATATATTCTTACATCGCCCTTACATGGTCAATATATTTAACTACTCGTATTTCGTCATTTATTCAAAAAAAAAACTATTTTTCTATGCTTTAGCTGCTCGCCCCAGCAGCCCTTCTAGGAATTAAATCCAGCATTGGTACAACTTGGAACCTGTTTCCGCGCTTAGCTCAAGACATACTGGATGCTGTGGAGAAAAATGACGTCGCAAAAGCAAGGGCTTTGCAGGAAAAATTAAGTTTGGCGATCGAAACTCATATCGTTGAAGGTATAGTTCAAAACATGAAAATTGTATTTATTTAATAGGATTGTATTTTAATTTGTATAATAGGGAACACTTTCCCCCCCGAACGGGTTCCCGCCTTGTCGTGGCGGGGGGCTTAGTAGCCGTGGCTTGGTCTCCCACGGTGAACAAAGAGGAACCCACGTGGCTGGCCCGAGGTGAAGGGCTGGCCTGAGGTGGCCGCTCCGAGTGGGCTTGGGGAGCCCACTTCGGATGTGTGCTGGTGGACTGCAGCGAGTGGGGACTCGCGCACCCTCTATCGCTGCAGCCGAGGTGGAGTCGCGGAGGAAGAGGAGTGTTGGTATGGCGATGCGCCACTCGCCCTATCCTTCGCGACTCAAACGGGGCCGCACCGTTGATGCGGTGGTGGTGGGGCTGCGGGGGGAGAGGATTGTCGGTATTGCGAGGCGCCGCTCTCCCTACCCTCCGCAGCCGAATCTTGGTTGGCGGCGGAGCCATAGACCAGATCCGCCGCTGGGGTCGGGAAGGCTAGTACTTCTAAGTGCTCGTTTTTCCTGGCCCCATGGCCTTTGTGCATCGGACGCGGGGGCGTCTGTTGCACAGACGTAGTTGGAGGCCGTGGAGGAAGGCGCGCCATGTGTTCTGGTGCGCCTTACCTGGGAAGGAGAACGGGGAGGAATTTTCCTCTCCTGAGGAGGTGCTGCCATGGGGCGGCAGGCGCTAGTAGGGCCGCGGATGTGTGCGAAAGCGTTCCCGTAGCCCTGCCAATATGCGACAAAGGTGGAACACCATGGGGTTTTAGTCGGTGCGAGTCCGACATAACCCGTCCTTGCCCCCGCGAGGCGGGTATGCGTAGGCATTTCCCCATGCAAAAAAAAAAAAAAAAAAAAAAAAGGGAACACTTTACAGTATACATTCTATCTCAGTCTCTCGCAGTCTTCTCAGCTCTCTTGCACACTTCATTTATAGCTTAATAAGCGATTATGTAGCTGAACAACTTAATAAAATATCGTGTTCATAAAATCTCACCAGGGGACCAACACCAGGGGAATTGCAGATGCGTTGCCGGCCTTCTAGAAAGGTGTAAGATTTTTTTCTTGAAGGTCCCTAAGTAGTATCGGTTCGGAAAAATCGCCGGTGGTAAACTTTTCCACAGATGGGTCGTACGAGGAAGAAAACTCGTAGTAAAATGTACAGTGGTGGATCACCAAGCATCCAGATGGTGTAGATAGTATCGTGAGTTTTGTTGCGAAGTGTGTTCGTGATATTTGGCGGCTGGAATTAATCCGAACCATTTCTCAAATGACTTCCCGGGGTGGATGCGATTGAAGATACAAAGGGATGCAACATCTCTTCGCAGCGTCAGTGTATCGAGCCGATCGGAGATAACAGAGTCGTCGACGATTCAAGCCGCTCTGCGCTGGATGCGGCCAAATTGAAGGAGCTGGCACTGGAGAGCCCGTCCCAGAGATAGGAACAGTATTCTATGTTTGGCCGAAACTGCGCCTTGTAAAGTTGCAGGTGGTATGCCTGCTTGAAATGCTGAGTACGCCAAGTTTTTTTAGAGGTAAATTTGGCCTCCCTCTTCCAGGTGACCATGAGACTACACATCCTTCGATATTTTTTTTAAATAAAAGAATATTAACAATGCTATAAACATTACTAATATTCCCCTTAACCACTCGTGGTAAGCTTTGTGTTACGAGTGGTTCACGACAGTAGTCGAATGGTGGATTCGAACCCACGACCTTTTTGAGTTCGCGGTCCGCACCCTGCCATTAGGCTACTGTCGCTTTTTTTGACGCCAGGATTACGATACTGGCTGAGGCTACTAGGGGAGCGCCCTGAAACTGAGAAGATACGATAAAGGGGTTCTTTTTAGCGATAAACGCGCAAACTTGTATCTTCTGGGGATCGAATTGGACTAGATTTAGTCGCCCCTAATCCGAGACTTTGTTCAACAATGTCTCGAATTCAGACACAAAGTTTGTTCCGGTACTCGACGACGTTTTCCCGAAAAATATTGGCACGGCCGGTGTATAAAGCATCACCAGTGCTGTCATCCGATCCGATAGCAAAGAATGTTACCAACATAGCATTGATATGCAGAAGAAACAGTTTTAATGTTAGCACGAAGCCTTGTGGAACACCAGCATTAATAGCCTTGAAATCGGAGTATACTCAGTCTACTACGACGTTGATGCTCCATATTCAGACTGGTGATCCAATTGCACAATCTCTCGGGAAGCCCATAGGAACGAACCTTCGACAGAAGCGCTTTGTGCCAAACCCGATCGAAGGCCTTCGCTATGTCCAACCTAACCGCCAGAGCCTTCCCCTCGACTCGATCGCCTGCGCCCATCGGTGAGTTAGTAGATCGGTTTGTGTTGGTGCTTTTGAATTACTTATCATTCTTCATAACCCAAAACTATCTGCTAGTTTTTAAATTAAAAGTTAAAATTACAGCCTACGAGTATATACGTCCCACAGCTGGGCACAGGCCTCCTCTAACTTCTGAAAGCGTTTTAGGGCAAGGAAGTGTATGCCCCAATGCGTGTTGGCGGATTTCCCATGACTTTGAATTTTTTTTTATTTCTCAGTTATGCAGGTTTCCTCACCACTGAGTTTTCCTTTACCACCGAGCATGTGCGATTTTACAAAAAAGTACTTGGTGCGAGAATTGTCTTTGCTTAATCTGTTTAGTTTTATTATTTTAATTCACACACACAGTCAGATAAATAAAAAGTTCGATGTACTTATGATTAAATACATTTTATTTCAGGCGCATGGGTGCCTATAATGAAAGCCGGTATGGAGATTGTTTCTGGTATTAAAGTTGGCCCTCCTTCTTTGCCCCAGAGACCAATAGCAGAGGAGGCAAGAAAACGGATTCAAGATAAATTAAGAAACTTGCGAATTATCAATTAAAATTTTTCAATTTTAATAAAATAGGGCTTATAAAATATTTTATTATACGAGTATATTAATGTGCTTAATGACTAAAACTAAAGAAATAAAAAAACATCGACAGTGCCTGATTTAGAGTTCTGACAGCCCAGAAATATGTCCCCCCCCCCTCCCTTCTGCCTGTCCTGTCTGTGCCTGCCTAGCCTAGGTGGTTGGCCACCAATAATATGGAGTGTACAGGTAATGAGTAAAGACTCTATATAAAAAGTGTCCGTAGGAAAGCGTTAAATAAGGGTGACGCCACTGTAGCTACAGTCTAAATTTTAAAGTACTTTTTTATTTTTTTTACTGCACAGACTTTCACTATAATTCTTTTTACAATAATTATTTTGTTGCTTTCACATTTTTTATTTTCAAAATCACTCTCAACGTATATTACGGCGATTTATCATACCCTGTAGCTACACGAGCGCTGTTGTGGAGAGATTTTATTTTTTTATTTTTCTTAGAAAAAAAGTTATCCCCACACTAGGATTTTCTCATGTATCGTGGAGGCAGTTTACATACATAAATTGCACAAGGACAAACATCCAGACCCGGAACAATTACTTGCAGGTCATAAAAATACTTGTTCCGTGCGGGATTCGAACCTGCGGCCCTCAGCGCTATAATTTATTCCTAAGCTACTCCGCCACAGAGCCGTCAGTTTTTGAACTGTTGTTTACTGCTTACAGATGGACACATTTTCAACTACTCTCCTATGGGAGATTGTCCTCCTTACCTCTATACTCCATGGCAAATGCGTTTTGCAATACCAATGCCTAATAATAGTCTGTTATTATTTTATATTAAGTGTCTGCACATGTGAACTATTATGCCGGCTGTACATGCTCGTCGAGACACCACGAGACAGGCCTAGAGGTGAGCGTTATTTAACGTAATCGGTTTCAGAAACTGCTTACGAGCCTGATAATTGTATACCCAGTTTCGTGGACAAAAATGTAACGATTATTTTACGTATGCAGTTGACAGTTGAAACACAAACAACGACCGGCGCTCGCGTAAGCGTTTCGTTTTTAACAGCTTATTATTATGATGATTATAGGTACGTAACACGATATACAACTCGCACAACGAGAGTAAAGAGATCCTTCGGGATAGTTATGGCTTACACGCAAGATAAAAAGAGACGGCAATATAGTAATTATATAATATAACAAGTTTCTGCTTATTTTTGTAATTAGTTACATCTCTATACAGTATAGCGTAGGTTAGTTTTGCGTTTGTGTTATGTTATGATTACGAAAATATTAACAGCTTATAGGTATTATAATATCTATTAGTTTAACTGTATTATGTTATGATTACGAAAATATAACAGTTTATAGGTATTATAATATGCGCGCGACATTGTCAACATTAGTACCTTTGTACAGTTTTATACAGTCACAAAATATTGTTGCGTGAATAAGTCAACGTCAAATATGTAATTACCTAAGTATAATTGTCCATCACATGACATAATTTTTATGATCCACATAATACACAAAAATAAACTTAATACAAATAAATATTAATTATTTATTTACACTAAATATATGTCTATTTATGTAGGTACACTAAATATTTATTTACACTTTAAATGTTTATTCACAAAGAAAACTATACATGTTATAATATTTAAAAAAGTAAACGCAAAAAGTTTTAAGAACATAGTTCACAGACACGAGACAATATAATTCGTCAATCATCGCTTGCATTTGTTAACTGCCTATAATTCTATTAAAAAGTAGAAGCACAGCAACTGGTCAAGGTCGCAATTTCTTTAAAAAAAACATTATCATAATTAACTTTAAGTCTTCCTAATTGCATATAAATTCGCATGGACATTTGCATTTAAAAAAATGCACCGATTACCATATTGCCGTCTCTTTTTATCTTGCGTGTAAGCCATACCTATCCTGAAGGGACTCTTTACTCTCGTTGTACGAGTCATATATCGTGTTACGTACCTATAATAATAAGCTTAATAATAAGCTGTTCAAAACGAAACGCTTACGCGAGCGATGGTCGTTGTGTGTATCAACTGCGTACGTAAATTAATCGTTACATTTTTGTCCACGAAACTGGGTATACGATTATCAGGTTCGTAAGCAGTTTGTGAAACCAATTACGTTAAATAACGCTCACCTCTAGGCCTGTCTCGTGGTGTCTCGACGAGCGTATACAGCCGGCATTAGAGAAAACGAGGAAACACGTGCTTCGATGTTAATACAAACATGTTAATAAAAATTCAAGTTAATAACCTTGAGTGTATAAATGTCGTCATCGACTATCCACTGGGTTGAGCTGTTATTAAAATCTCTCAAATACTTCGCAATGTGATACACCAGCATATTGTGAAGAAAGATATATAAAAACGAAGATCCCAAATTAAGACGGCTTAAAGGACAAACATCCAAGCCAAAAATATTAATAAAAAATTCCTATACTAGCAGAGTATACTAGCCACGTATACAACTACGTTATGTCTACTATTATTAAATATTGAATTTGAAATATGGTTGAATAAAAACTAAATTTACGGATTCTATCGCGTTTAATTAATTACTTTTACATATTTTTAATTCCCGACGTTTCAGGTGCTTTACAGCACCCATGATCACGGGGAGGGGGGGACTGAGATGTTTGACGTCCCAATGTCATTGTTAGCCCGGCTACCTTCAGTTTTTGAATATTAATTTTTGGTCCGATTTAATTAATATTCGAAAACTGAAGGTAGCCGGGCTAACAATGACATTGGGACGTCGAACATCTCAGTCCTCCCCATGACCATGGGCGCTGTAAAGCACCCGAAACGTCGGGAATTAAAAATATGTAAAAGTAATTAATTAAACGCGATATGATATATACTGGTTTTAGCCTGTGGCCATGGAGGTTAGAGAACAGGAGAAAATAGTGTCGCAGAAATATGGACAAAATAAGTGAGGCACTGCGATCGCTTAGTTGTCTCAATAAAAAAGAGGGCTGTTGTGGGCTAGTTTTAAATGATTATATCATTCAAAGAAAAAAAAAAAGAAAATAACGAAATTATTATATACTATAAATTATGTTTTTTATAATTTTAATTATTATAAATTATTACAAATATAAATTATTAATTATTATGATTTTTTTAATAATATTTCACCATTTTATAAGGTTTTTTGACAATAATTGAAAAATACTTCGCAGGTACTAGGTACTTACCGACGGCAGCGCGGCTATAAGTTCTACAAAATTTCTGGGACAGGTGGGCCATGCTTTAGCACGTAGCGATCGTTCTCCTGTTCTCTAACCTCCATGCCTATGGCTGTGGGCTACATAGCATACTTAATAATCTGTGATCTGAGTATGTAGTTTTATACATTACGTATGTATGTAATTTAGATACATGGAGTGTATAATACCTCCACACTCCATGGTTTCATACAGTTTTTTATGCGCGGTATCCTCTTAGTTGCATAGATTATGTACATTATATATACCTGGAACCCTGTTCAGAGTCTGTGAGTGTAAGGATGGCCACTTACATACGGAATTCTGTGTGTGGCCGACCCGTTTTTTCCGTTTCGGAAACCGTATGTAGTATGTTGCGGGCCTTACTAAACGTAGTGATATAGTATCTTTGGGCATAGCCACAAACTAATAAGAGTACTTTAGCATTCCTGTAGAAGACAGTAAGGCGAAGTAATTTTTGACAAAAAGAAACATTAAAAAATGGCGAAATATTATAAATAAAATAATAATAAATAATCATTAATAATTAATAATTTATACTTGTAATAATTTATAATAATTAAAATTATAAAAAACGTAATTTATTTATTAATAAATAAAAATAATAAAATAATAATAATAAGGATGATGGATTTGACTAGAACGCGCAAAGGGCCGCTGCCTGGAGGTCGTCAGGGCGCGTCTGGAGCTGGCGCTGGACGCGACAGCATGCGAACCGCCAGCCGAGCGCGAGGTGCTGCATGACTACCCAGCAACCCGTCGCATCCATCATCCCCATCACCTGGCTTAGTGTCGGCAGGGTCTTCACGGGCCCAGCAATCAGCACCCGCCACTGGTGGAGCACGCCGCAAGCGTTGGATAACCTAAATGAACAGCAACGCATTGCGGGCGTATTTTAGAGCGAAAGGGGGAGAAATCGGAGATTTTGCGTATCGGGCAAGGAGGCATCGTCTTTTTGCTGAGCTGGAGCCATCCGTCCACCACCGTCCCCGAGCAAAACCTGGCAGTACGAGTGCGGTATATCTTGCGCTCAAATACATTTGATGTCACAGAACTATAACGGCTACGACGTTAGGCTGTTCCTTCATCGGATGAAAATGCTACGGCTGAGGATGCGGCGCCACAACTTGAAGAGCAACCGGCAAACGTGGATGTTGCCGTGAATACGCCAGTTGTGGTTGATTCAAAAACGATGATGGAACAGTCGCCCAGGAACTGGAATTAGAGCAAATAAGGAGTACATTGGATGAGGCGTATTTGGAAACGCGCAGTACGCCTCTCGAAAATCGACCGTGACTTCCCCGCATCATAAGCGGAATCGGGCTATCGTGAGGGCTCTGAACCCAATGCTGGTGACCTATTTGGAAGCCAGCCAGGACCTTTGCGAGACGGACTCAATTCTTTTTGGCGCCGCACTGGCAGTCTGCCGTATTATAGGCACCAAACTTTTCACGGCTGGACGCACTACTGGACAAAGTAGTGCTATCCCAGCCTGGAGAATAAGAATTGAAGAACGTATCGCAAAGGCTAGGGCCCTCATCGGCATACTGATATACTTCAGGTCAGGCAATATCAGGCCAAGGATTGTGCGCACCGTCAGAATGGCGTTTGCTGGGACAAATGTTTGTTTGTCCCAGCCGGATATAATGCAAAAACTGACGGAGCGCATAGACGACCTGAAGCAGAGAATCGCTGCTTGGGGAAAGCGGATTCGTCGAAATACCGAGAGGTCGACACAGTTC